GAATTTGGTCTGGTAGTTGTGAAGATATCTTCGCTCAAAGTTAGAAAAAAATCAAAACAACTATCAAAAAGAAGCTGTACCAATTTTTAAAAAAAAAATTAAACAAAGATATCTCCACATCCACCAGACTAAATTAGATAAATTTTTTTTTATTTGAATTCTATAGACTCATAGAATTTAAATAAAAAAAAATTCATCAAATTTAGTCTGGTGGTTATGAAGATATCTTCATTCAAAGTTAGTAAAAAATCAAAACATCTATCTATCAAAATAAAAGCTGCGGTAAATTTTTTTTAAAAACTTTGAGCAAAGATATCTTGACAACTATCTAACCAAATTCGATGAACTTTTTTTATTTTAATTCTATGAATTCATATAATTCAAATAAAAAAAAGTTCATCGAATTTAGTCAGATAGTTGTCAAGATATCTTCGCTCAAAGTTTTAAAAAAACTTTGCCGCAGCTTTTATTTTGATAGATGTTTTGATTTTTTACTAACATTGAGCGAAGATATCTCCATAGCCACCAGACCAAATTCGATGAATTTTTTTTTATTTGAATTCTATGAATCCATAGAATTCAAATAAAAAAATTCATTGAATTTGATCATGTGGTTGTCAAGATATCTTCATTCAAAGTTAGAGAAAAATCAAAACATCTGTCAAAATAAAAGCTGTACCAAAGTTTTTTTAAAACTTTGAGCGAAGATATCTTGACAACTATCTGACTAAATTCGATGAACTTTTTTTTATTTAAATTCTATGAATTCATAGAATTCAAATAAAAAAAAGTTTATCGAATTTGGTTAGTAGTTGTCAAGATATCTTTGCTCAAAGTTTTAAAAAAATTTTGGCACAGCTTTTATTTTGATAGTTGTTTTGGTTTTTCACTAACTTTGAGCGAAGATATCTCATAACCACCAGACTAAATTTGATGGATTTTTTTTATTTGAATTCTACGAGGCCATAGAATTCAAATAAAAAAAAAATTCATTGAATTTAGTCTGGTGGATATGGAGATATCTTCGTTCAAATTTTTTTTTAAAAATTGGTGTAGCTTTTTTTTAATAGTTGTTTTGATTTATTCTAACTTTGAGTGAAGATATCTTCACAACTACCAGACCAAATTTGATGAATTTTTTTTTATTTCAATTCTATTGATTTATAGAATTCGAATAAAAAAAGTTTATTGAATTTGATTAGCTGATTGCCAAAATATTTTAATTTTATTTTAAAAATTTTTATTTTTTATTTTATTTGTGTTATATAGTATGGAACTACTCCAAAGGGGCCAAATCCGGGCTGGAGGGTGGCCTTAGCAAATATGGGGGTAGAAATAGCAATACTCTTTTCTAATTTATGTCAATTAAATCATTTACAAACTATAAACCAAGAACAACTTTATTTTGAAATAGAACCTATTGTATTAAAATCGAATAATGAAAATTTTAATCAATCTAATCAATCTAGAAATGAATATGCTACTTATGAAAATTCAATTTCTGGATGCATATTTCTTGAAGCAATATCATTTACTATTGAACATGAAGTTATTCAAGAAATATTAAATTCAAAATATTGAAGTATTTTGATAAATGAAAGTACTATATTTACTAATAAATATCTTGCAATTGTAACAAAGCACTTATCTGAAAATAAATCTATTTTACATTATCTTGGAATAATCAAATTAGAGGATTGTAGTGCTGAATCAATTACTATAAATTTAAAAAGATTTATATTAGCTAAATTACTTAATATTAAAAATTTGGTTTATTTTGGAAGTGATGGTGCAAGTACTATGCTTGGTCATCAAAATGGAGTTGCTGCACATCTTAAAAAATATAATCCTTTTATTACTGAGATTCACTGTATAGCACATTGTTTACATCTTGCAAGTCAAGATGCTGCTAAAAAAGTATCATATTTTGAAAAATATAAAAAGTTAGTAAAAGGAATTTATACATATTTTAGTAGTTCTTATAAAAGATTATTAATACTAAAGATGGTACAAAATACTTTAGAAGAACCTGAATTAATAATATTAAATATTGTATCTACTTGATGGCTATCATTTTCAAATGTTATTCATAATTTTCATCAAAATTTAGAGTCAATTAAAGAAGCATTATTAGATGAAGCAGCAAATAATATGCAGGCAGCTATTTTATTAGCAAATATTAATCAGACTTTTGAAATCGTAACTATGTTTTTGGTAGATTATTTTTTTATAATAGATAAATTAATTCGTATTTTTCAATCAGACTATATTTCATTTACAGATATCAAACAACATATTACAATGGTATGTGATGTATTACAAGCTCAATTTATTGGCAACAATAACGTTCTACCTACTTATGGACAAAATTTACTTAAATATATAGAAGAAAATAATTTAGATACTAGTCAATTTCCTACCTTTATCTCTGAATTTGCATCTGCCACAATAACAAGTCTAAATAATCATTTTCCAAATCGAGAACTTTATGAAGCTATAAAAATATATGATCCAAAACAGTTACCAATATCTGATAATAATTTAGCAAACTATGATAATGAAGTGATTAATATTCTTAGTAATTTTTAGGGAACAGAAAAAGTTATTAATAATCAACAATTTATACCATCATTAGAAAAAAAAGATTTAATTAATGAGTGGGAAATAGTTAAATTTTTTCTTAAAAATCATCACTTTATTAAATTTGTTGATACATGGAATCTTATTTTTTCACAAACTATATTTATTTATGATTTTCCTGTTATTTCTACTTTAATTCAAATTGCTTTACTTATCCCTGTTTCTAATGTGACTGTTGAACAAGTTTTTTCTCATCAAAAACTTATTAAAACTTGACTTTGTAATCAAATGAATATTGAAACACTTAATCATCATTTAATAATAGCTTTAAATAGACCATCTATTGAATTATTTGATTTTGAAAAGGCATACGATTATTGGTATACAAAAGAATGACAAATTTAAATATAT